TGAGATTTGAGAGAAACACCCTTCTTCTTATAAAAGGATTGAGTGGCTCCTTTAAGCCACCCTTGTTGTTGTTAGTGAAGAGTGTGGAGGAAATCATTGCTGAGTGAAGCCAAGGTAAAGGACTAGGTTCCAAGTGGTTGGACCGAATCTCTATAAAATCATTGAGCAAGCTGTTCTTCTCTACTCTCTTTATTTTTGGTTTTGTGGTAGCAAAAATGGGAGAATTCTTGGAACTCCAATTCACCCCCCTCTTGGAGTACATTAAGTCAACAAAGGCAAGAGCAGCTGAAGCTCCGACAGAAAGACCTTGAAGCAAAATTGGAGACTCAACTTATGCAGTGTGGAAAGATTGCAAGCATGGAAGTTAAAGACTGGTTGAAGTAAGTAGGCCAACAAATTCCCTTAAAGGTTGAAGATCTAATCAACCGAGGGGGATGCTCTTCCCTATCCAACCTTAGGAGAAAAATTGAAGAATTGAAACAAATATTTGAGCAAGGAGAAATATATACTAATGCTGGTGAGAGTTTGGTCACAGATGTTTACTTAATTGAGCGTGGTGCAACTATATTTAAAGAAATGCAAGAGCAGTTGAAGCTCCGACAGAAAGACATTGAGGCAAAATTGGAGACTTCGCTTCTGCAGCCCAAAAAGATGGCAAGCAATGAAGTTAAAAACTGGATGGAGAAAGCAAGCCAACAGATTGACATAAAGGTTGAAGATCTAATCAGCCAAGGGGAATGTTCCTCTCCATCCAACCTCTGGAAAAAAATTGAAGAATTGAAGCAAATACTTGAGCAAGGAAAAGAATTCACTAATGCTGGTGTGGTTTTGGTCATAGATGATCACTCAATCAAAGGATTTCCACTTCCCATTGAAAAATGTGGTGGCAAGGATGATATACAAGAAAAAATTTTGGAATGGTTGAAGGGAGACAAGGTTACAAGAATTGCAGTTTCGGGAATGGGTGGTGTGGGCAAGACAACAATTATGAAGAATGTACACAACCAATTGTTGAATGAATCCAAATTTAAGAATATTATTTGTGTAACAGTGTCAAAAGACTTTAACATTACTGTCCAGCAAAAAAAGAAGTTTGATATTCTCAAGTTTCAGAAAAAGATTGCAAGTAGCTTGAAATTAGAACAAGAGCCAGATCCTGAGAATGAAACCAAGCTTGCTGCATTGATTTCACAAAGGTTAGGGCAGGGTAGCTTCCTGCATTGATTTCACAAAGGTTAGGGCAGGGTAGCTTCCTGCTAATTCTAGATGATGTGTGGGAGCCTTTTTCTCTAGAAGATGTTGGAATTTATAATCCAGTTGGAAATAATGGTTGCAAATTAGTGCTCACAACACGGTCAAAAGATGTTGCTCATGCAATGGATTGTAATGTGATCCATGTGAACCCTCTTCCACCTGATGAGGCATTAGCATTATTCTTGGAGAAAATTGGAAGTGACGTGTTTTCAAATGGCAAAATTAAAAGAAATATAGAGCCATTTTTTAAGCAAATTTTGCAGAAATGTGATGGGGTACCCCTTGCTATTGTGACAGTGGCAAAATCAATGAGGGGAAAATTACTTCCTCGTCATTGGAAGTTGGCACTTTCTGAATTTAGTAAATTTGAAAGCATCGTTGATTGTTTGAAATTCAGTTATGAATGCCTAGAACCACAATGTTAGGAGTGTTTCCTATATTGCGCATTGTATCATGAAGATTATGAAATCCAAAAGGAGGAGTTAATTGAGTATTGGATTGAGGAGGGGCTTATATATAAAGAAGGGAAAACTAGGGAGGCAATGAATTGGAAGGGTCATGATATACTTGATAAGCTAGTTGACAACTGCTTGTTGGAGTTGGTTGGAGGCAAGGAATATTGTGTGAGTATGCATGATCTTCTCCGAGAAATGGCATTAGAAATCAGTCCTCAATTTTTGGTGAAAGCTGGCATTGCCTTGGAAAAGCTACCAGAAGAGAGTGAATGGAGAGAAAATCTTTTAAAGGTTTCTTTAATGGAGAATCATATAACAAAAATTCCTTCAAGCATGCTGTCTCCGAAGTGTCCTATACTTACAACCTTGTTGTTGTCCAATAACCAGATTTCAACAATTCCAGAAGCTTTTTTTGAGCATATGCCTGGGCTCAAGATCCTTGATCTTTTCAACAATTGGGAGCTAACAAGGTTACCAAGTTCTGTTTCCAAATTGGAGAAGCTTACTACATTATTGCTATTGAATTGAAAGTGTTTAAGAGAGGTACCGTCTTTATCCAACCTTGTAGGCTTAAAAAAGTTGGACCTTTCCAACACGTGAATTGAAGAACTACCTCAAGGCCTCAATATGTTAACAAATCTAAAATATCTTGGTCTTGGTGGAACATTATCTGAAACACTTGATGAACCGTTACAAAATCTCTCCAAACTTCAGCATTTACTAGTAAATGCCAATCTCGATCCCACAATAGAATTTAAATGGGAGACGATTGGAATTTGGGGGAAGCTTCAAAACCTTGAGAAGCTGGATCTTTGTTATTTGGATAACTTGAATATGGTGTTTGGGGAAGTAGGAGCCGTTGCTGAGTCAGCACGGCTACTAGCTGGCACATTTTCCTCTCTTCAATATATTAATGTTAGGGCATGTTATAAAATAAAGAAGTTATTCTCAGTTAGGTGGTTGGGATATCTCTAGAAACTACAGACTATTGAGGTTACTAATTGTAAGGAACTAAAGGAGATAATAAGGTCTAAATCTGAAGAAGGAGAAAAAGTCACTCTACCCAAGTTAGAATGGTTGGAATTGACCGCATTGCCCCAATTGAAGACCATCTATAGTGGTTTTTTTATTTGTGATTCCATCAAGAATATTGAAATTCATGATTGCAAAAATATAGAAAGTGTTTTTTTGTCAAGGTTCAACCCACTTCCAAATCTTAAATATCTATACCTTGACTATTTAGAGAATCTGAAATTCGTGTTTGATGAAGGTCTTGGTTTATCGCCACTTGTACCTCCCACAAGCTCTTTCTCTCTTAAACAAATTAGGGTTGATAATTGTCATCAATTAAAGAAGGTATTCTCATCTGGATGGTTGCTCCGCTATTTCCAATCTCTAGAGACTATTGAGGTTTCAAGTTGTTGCAAATGGAGGAACTGATATTGTCATCGGCACATGAAGAAGAAAACATCACTCTACCCAAGTTACAAGGCTTGAAATTGACAAGATTGCCCTTATTGAAGAGCATCTGCAGCAGCTCTAGTGTGTTAATTTGTGATTCCATCCAGAATCTGAGGATTTCCAATTGTGAGAAGCTAAAGAAGATTCCTCTGAATTTTCCCTTACTTGATAATGCCCAATCATCTCATCCTCCTTCCCTTGAAGAAATTGTGGTATTTCCAAAAGAATGGTGGGAATCATTGGAATGGGACCATCCCAATGCAAAAGACATCCTTTTCCCTTTTTGTAAATTTCAGCAGAAATGGTGGTAGGGCACACCGCAAATGTAAGCCTTTTAATCTTCAATTTTCCATTTCTGATTCAAATCAGTATGAGTTTTCCATTCTTAATAAATCTCTCTCTCTCTCTCTCTCTCTCTCTCTCTCTCTCTATCTCTCTCTCTCATCTATTCTTTTCTCCCCCATTGGCAGCAATTGGGATTCGGCTCAGTAACCACAAGAAAGTTGGAGGAAATCACATATGCACTAGTTGCTGTTGCTATTGGGTTTTCAATTTAATATAATCTTTGTTTTTCTTGTGCTGTGTGTGTGTGTGTTTAAATATGTCCAATTCTAAGTGGAAAACTGGAAATGTTTGTTTCTTTATTATCTATGTAATGTTGTCTTTGAAACTATGTGGGAAAAAGACTTGAAACTGTATTTGCTTTTCTTGTAATATGTATTTCAATTTATTGCATTTGCATATCTCCTCAAATTTCATTCAACAACATTATCATCAACAACAAAAACTGAGACTTACTTTCATCAACAATAGCAACACGCTCTATTACTTTATATTCTCAGAATTGCCCAAAAAGGACTAGCATTCAGGTCAAAGGACACTCCTCTTCTCTTTTTGCCTTTTTTTTTTGTCCCTTTTTTTTTTTTATGCATCATCAACATTAAACTATATTTGCCTTTTTTTTCATCAACATTAGGTTCACTTATTTAAAAAATTTAGTAGTGTAACTATGAATCATGCATTACTTGTTGCGTGCTACCTTCTGTTTACCTCAAGGGATTTAGAAAAAATCATGTTGCGACAGTTGCATATGTATTGAGACAACTACGGAGGGAAATTTTAGAGCTTTCTTTGTCCTTTTTAAGTTTTCCTTAATTGTTACAATTTTGCCATTCATTTCTAGCCCTTGCTGCCCTATGTCAAATTTGATTCCTTGTTTCAGTAGTCTCTATATTTGCTCTTAAAGATGTTTGCTTTGGTGATGAAAAGATTGCCCAGATTTTAGTAGTTTCAGTACCCTTGCTAGGTATTTGCTAACTGTGCTTAAAGACTGTTATGCTGATACAGTATTTTATTTGTGGTATTGATGCACTATAAGATGTAAGAGTTTGAGAACTTTCTTTGTCCTTTTTCTTAATTGTTTTGGTTTTGCCATTCATTTTCAGTCCTTGCTTCCCTGCCTCTTATTTGACACCTAGTTTAAAATTTGATGGTCTCCATGTGTGCCTTTAAAGATGTCTACTCTGGTCATGGACAGATTGACTCGATTTCTGAAGGTGACTTCTTAGTTGGTTACAGTTGAGTACTCTCTTGCTGTTTTTATTATATCAATGCTTTTCTCTTCTTCTTTTTTGGGGGGGGGTGAAATATAAGGACTTGCTAATCATACTTAGAAGCTGGATGCAGTATTTTTAACTTGTGGTATTGAGATAATATATGATTTTACATAGTGGAAAACATTTGCAAATCTATTAAGATGCTTGTTAGAAACAAAGTTGATAATGTGTATGACTCAAGAAGTAGTGAATTTTTTGTTTGATTGACCAATTTTTTGTATCTGAGTTTCATTTTGCTCCAATTAGCAATTTAATTTCAAGTTCATCTGAAACTTTCTCATAGACCTATTTGATGTTATGGATAATAATTCTTGAGTGTTATTTTATGCATGGGATTTAATCATCAGTGATCTTTCACAGGAAAGTGAAACGGATTTCCAAAAAGGAAAGGTTAGGTGTCAAGAATATGGATGGCTCTTTATAGAGTGTAGTGCAAAAACTTGAGTGAATGTAGAGCAATGCTATGACGAGCTTGTCTTAAAGGTAACTAAAATCCAGTGTACTTTATTCTGTACTTGATATAGCCTGATATTTTTATTAGATAGCCCTGCCTTCAGACAAGTGTATATGTTTGTTTGGATATAAGAGAAACATGGAAGCTAATTAAAGCCTTTGAATTTGGATAATTTAGCTGTTGATATATTGATATACTCCTGTTCCTATTTTACTTCTGAGACTTCAATTAATACCATATAATGTGTTTGCATAATCCTAGATAATGTACTAATTTTCTCTGTTACAAACTTACCTCAGATAAATGGCACAAAGTGCATTTTGGTTAACGTGTTTAATTGAAGGGAAATATCTGACATGATTAAAGATCAGCATACAAATTTGTTTTTGCCTATGTAATTATTTTGATCATACAAAGAACTATTTTTGACATTCAAGTGTTGGGACACGTATAACTACTAATATCACTGAATCATTTGATTCATAGTAAAATTGTTAGAATCTTTCTGCATTTTTTTTGGGCATGGATAGAGTATTAGTTTTCTCTGGCATATGGATTACCTTTTAGTGGTTGTGGGTGAGACTTTATGTTGTTTAAACTCATCAAAATGGGTGTACATCAAAAAAAAAAAAAAAACTCATCAAAATGGGTTTTGAATTTATCTTTTAATTTGTAGGGATAGTCTAGGGTTGAGATGGAAAGATTATGTCCTTCCTAGCTAGAATTCGATGCTCTAAGAACTGTGGTTGTCTATCTGAATTACTGCACGGCTATTTGCGATAGGCTCAGACAAGGCAGAATGCGGCTTAAGGTTGGATTGTTTTCATCATCACCATGTCCTCCCATTTTCAAATATGTGAAAGGAAATTAATTACAAATGCCATATACTAACAGGAAGAATCAAGCATATCATGCCCAATCCATTTTGCATGAACAAATTAAATCTAACATTTGAATTCTATTGTCTCACAGATAAAAGCCACCTACAAAATTTTGAGGGATGCAAGAAAGTACTTCATGGTGTAGAAGTTATTATAAGGTGTGATAAAGTACTTAGTTGATATTGACCAAATCCCAAGTCTTTAAACTGGATTAGGGGGTTAAAAGTCAAATACCTCCTAAAAAAAAAAAAAAAACCAGAACTTGATTACAGAGGAGGTAGGTTCTCCAAGTAAATTGCAAATAAGAGGATCTCCCCCAAGGCCTGAAGGTTAAATACACTGCCTTTGAATTCTATTGCCTTGTAAATAAAAGACTCTTACAAAATTTTGCAGGATATAAGTAAGTACTTCCTGCTGCAAAATTTGTTTTAAGGCATGATAAAGTGCTAAAAAATGTAAGAAAGTTATATCAAATAATAGCACTTCTTATATTTTATTTCCTTATATCCTTAAAACACTCGACAAATTTCAATATATATCATTTATCTAATTTGTCATGTTATTTACAAAAGAAAAAATTTGACCAAATATTAATTTCATATCAATATAAATTGTGATTCTATACCACCAAAAGCACATACTAGATGGAATAAAAGCAGTGGATTGCAAAAGTCTTAATCAAAATATTCGGATATTTATATTATAAAAAATCACTTAATTAAATTCTCTTTAAACATTTCTATATACATTTATGATATTACTGTAAAGAATTTGGTGTTAGCGGACTGCAAAACACTAATTATTAAATGAAGGACCTTTCCTTTATTATTAGGAGGTCTCTCTTAATATAATGATTTGTATTTTGTAATCCAGTATAATATCAATCTATAAAACACTGTTTTGTACTACTAATTACAATTTTATTTTTAACATCTGAGTTCAATTATTATATATTAAGGTTTTATATCCTGTTGAACAAGAAGAATGGCATTGGAAAACAAGAAAAATATGAAAGAGCAATGAACAAAATTAGTTCCATAAATACCGTGTAAATATAAGGGTTCGGCGTCCTCTCTTGCCTGTTTTCTTGACTTCTTCCCACTTCACTAACCTGCACACACCATTTTTTCTTGCTTTTATTTTTTTAGTACATTGATGGTTAACTCCTTAGTATAACAAAGGTTCAAATCCATAATTTTAATTTAAAATCAAAATTTTTAGGTTAATGAGTACTAACTCA